ATTTTTGTTTTTTGTCTTTGGAGGGGGGTTGTTGCACAGGAAATCTTCACATAAATACATGTGCTGTTTGATTGTTGCCACCAAGGCAGTTAGCAGCAGCTTTGTGCCACAGAATTCGTTCTGAAATCTCAGAAACATCAAGTCCTGAGAAAACATCAAGAGCTTAAGGTGGACTGTGGGTAGTAGTCAAGCAGAAAACCTCCCATTTGATGGCACTATTTCCCTGGGCCAAGCTGGTCCACTGCCCAATCCCTCCCCACCCAAAGCTATTTTTCTGGTGTCTCCGTTGAGCCTTTAGGTGGGGCTGAGTGTGAAACTCTTGTTTTCCACTGGAGGACATGAGTCAGTGAGCAGTGAGGTTCCACTTAATCACTACCCCAAAACAAGGTTCTTAAAAATCAGGAGCAGGAAGAGCAGGGAAATGATTAACACAAAGTCAGGACAGTGATGACCCTTGAGTGCGGTGGGGTGGGTGGAGAAGCCTGCTGAGGTCGGGACAGTCGGGGATCTTCTGGAGTTTGACAGTACTGTAGTTCTTGATCTGAGTGATGACTACATTGGCAATGGTCCCTTTATCATTATAGTCACACATTTTATGTAGTTTTCTAAATATATACGATAGCTTGAAATTACAAGCAGCCAAAAAAAAAAAAATACAAGCTGTAAAAAGTTCTTAAGCTGAGAAAAACATAACTAGGTTTATATCAATAAAAGACTTCTTGGGGCCAGGCATGGTGGCACACACCTTTAATCTCAGCACTCAGAGGCAAAGCAGGTGGAGCTTTGAGTTTAATGCTAATCTGCTGTATAGAGTGAGTTCCAGGTCAGCTAGGGCTACACAGTGAGACCTTGTCTAAGAAAATTAGCTGAAGGTAGGACAAGGACAAGAAGCAGAGAAAACAGTCAGGAGGTGGCTGCCACAGTTTGGTGAGAGACTACAATTACCTCTACAAGGGGTGAAAATAGAGAGATACAGTCTGCTGTTTTGAAAAATACAACCAAAGTAAGACAGAAGCTGGCACCGCCTCTCAGCTCACTTTTCCCTCTAGATCCTGATATATTGGCTCAAGAAGAACAGTCAAAAGACAACCAAATAAAACAGACTCATGGGCAGCTCTACCCCGTGCCAAATCTACCCTGAGGACTTGTGGCAGAAAGAATAGAGTTTCATGACACCATGACCATATGAAAGTTGAGCTGGCATTATATCTCAGCATCAAAGTTGAGCTGCTATATGCCAGCCTACCGTGATATCTAATCACGACACCCGTTCAGTGAAAACTTCATAGAGTATTTTCTCATCTAATATCTGGTCCTAGAATGCTAGCTCTGGAAGACAAAGACATTTTGTTCACTGCTGTATCTTAGGGTGATGAAACAAAGTTAGTGTGCAGTAAGTGTTCAATAAATATTACTGAATGATCTCTCTCTCTCTCTCTCTCTCTCTCTCTCTCTCTTTTTGAGACATGGTCCCTCTAAGTTGTAGGTGCTAACCTTGAACTCACAATCCAACTCACCTCAGCCTTCCAAGTAACTGGGACTCTAGGCACCTCCATAATACCAATAATAAAAATGTTCTCATTTAATTACTATAATTATTTGTGTATAATCATCACAATAATCTAATGAGGGTAGATAAGACATGTAACATTATCCTCATTTTGTAAGTTAGAAAACAAAGATTTTCTTCATTTTTCTCAATTCAAAGCTAAAGGGCTAAGGCTTAACCTTCTTATAGTTCTAAAACACCAACTGGAAGCATTTCAAAACACAACAGGCTGGTGTGGTGGCGCATGCCTTTGGTCCCAGCACTCAGGAGGCAGAGGCAGGAGGATCTCTGTGAGTTCAAGGCCAAGCCTGATCTACATAGCAAGTTCCAGGCCAGACAGAGCTACACAGTGATACAAACAAAAAGCAAGCAAAACAAAAGAAACAAAACCATGACAGGTCTGCAGGTTCCACACTCTCTGTTGCCCCTGACATGGAGAGACATAGCCTGCCCAGCTCGCACTAGTAACTGCAGCAACCCTCTGAGGAGATTCATTTTCTTCTGGATAATCAAGTCCACCTGCTCCCAGGCCCCCTTACACCCCATGTCCCTCACTGTCTCTACTCCCTACTCTGCCCAGGCCACCTCTCCAAACAATAGAAGTTAAAGAAATCCAGTTGTCACAAAAAAAGGAAACCGCTTGTTCTAATAATCAACATGTCAACAAAGGGAAAAGATTTTTAAAAAGTGGCAAATGGTAGTTTTGGTGTTCTTCAAAAACCTGTCATCCAAATGATATCCTATAGGGAGTCTAAAAATGCCACACTACATGAAAAGTTCCTCTTAGCCGCTTTCTTTTTAGTATCAATTAAAATTAGCAATTTGAAGCATAAATCATAACTCAAACACTCTCTCTAGATGCTCAAAAAGTGTTAATATTCATACATCTGTGTATACTTTCCACAGGATTGATAAACACAGAAGAACCCGCAGACACATTAAAACCAGCGTACCTGGGAAAACGCTGAGCACACAGACACAACAAAACTCAACCAAGTCATGTTTTCAGGTTTTCTTCCCCTCTACTCCGAGCCCTGCTGTTCACTTTGTCCTTACAGCAGTCTAGGCAGGTTAGACCACAGCAGACAGTTAAGGAGGATAGCTAACTCCTCTAAAACCATCACAGAACTCACCAGAAACTCATTGGCAAACTCCTCCTTGTTAATTTTCTTTTTCTGGGCCTCACTCAGTAACTGCTGCAGAATTTCTCTTTGGTCCATGCCGCAGAGCGAGAGTCTGTGAGTGAATGAAGGGAGGGCATGTCAAATGTGTGTCATGACCAAGACACCACCAAGAAGCCACTGCTGCTGCCTGAGCACAGCATGCTGGAGGCTGTGGTTTCCTGACGTCATCACAAGCCCTAGAGGAAATTAGTGCGAAACCAGCTCTGTGGTCACACAACAAAGCCATCATCTCCCTCCAGGGCCCTAGCGCCTTCCTCTCTCAACAAAGACACTCGGCTACAGTTCGAATGTAACAAAGAGGCTAACCAGAACAGTAAACCGTGGTCTGCTTAGGCTCGGAGACTGTTCCACTGTGCCACCTTCAAAGGGCACTCACCTCTCTTGTTGCTTCCCAGAGAAAAGGCAGAAAGAAGCACAGCTCTAACGTAAAGGTGAGTTCAGCCTTGCCACATCCCCCGTGAGCAGAAAGGCCTGGGAGACACCTGTCGCCCCTCTGCAGGCAAGGAAACAGACACTGAAGTTACCTATCTTCTACCTGGACTATTCTCCCCAAAGTCAGAGCAGGCAGTTTAGTTCAGAACTTGTCAAGCCTCTCCTATGGACCTCACGTTTTCTCTTAGAGGAAGCAAAGTCAACTGCTTCTGACAGGCAGCTCCCCCAGGGCTGGGGAAGTACTGGCTCCGTTAAGGGAAGTGTTTCATCTCTGCACCTCTGCAAACCTGTAGAAGCTGTGCTCCTTATCTGGGTTCTGCATAGAAACACGGAGAACACTGCTCTGTGTAGGATGGGAAGCTCTGGACAGGCAGTTAGCACAATGTCCCCACAACGCACTGCTAGCAAATCGTGAAGGAACAAAAAGGAACTAAAACTAAAGATTCCCTTGCTGAGAGTAATACAGATTCTAGGGCAGAGAGTCTCTAGAGAACTGAGCAGAGCAGTGCAATCTGGAGTCCCAGCTACTCCGGAGTGTCACCCAGCTGGAGGGTCACTTGAGTCTAGGAATTTGAAACACCTGGCAACAAAGTGAGATCTCTCTCTCTCTCTCTCTCTCAAAAACTGAGAGACATAGAGAGACAGAGACAGAGAGAGAAGAAAGGAAGGAAGAGTGAAAGAATGAAAGAGAGAGAGAGAGAAAGCCTAAAGGACTGATTCTCATGAAGACATTTTGACGTTTTTATCCTGCAGCCACTGTCTTGGAAAAGACCCCGTTGCAGGGAGCCATCCCATACTCATGGCACTGGTGCCTTGACAGGCAGGCTGTTCTAGAAAAAGCTTCCACGTCTCCGTTTGCATAAATTCTCCTCAATGGGTACAAATCCACCCAAAATCTAATTCAGTGTGAAAACACCCCCAAATGAATATATTATCTTCAAAGGAGGAAGTTCAACAAACAGTGTGTTACAAAATTAATCTCAAGCATGAAAACTGGGAAAGGTGTAATTCGACTTCCTCAATCTAAGATACTGGCAATCCTTTCTGGTTGTGCATTATTCAAATCTCCTTCAGAAAAATTATGATTTTTGAACACAAAACATGCTGCATCCTCTTAGTTGAGTCCTTGGTAGGCAACTTGAAGTTAATATTCCAAATAAAGGAATTTCAATTGTAGTTCACATAAATTAAAATTAACCATTATTCTTGAGCAGTATTTCCTGAGACTAGAACAATGTCTCAGATTATCCTCATCTAGCATTAAAAGGAAATTTCTTACCACTGTAAATAATACAATGTTTGACTATTTTAAGACATACAAAATATGGAGAAATTTTATTTTTAAAAAGAACATAAAATTCTTCAGGGCATAGTGGTATATATTTATAACACCAGCACTCAGGAGGCTAAGATAGGAGAATTGCTACAAATTCTAGGCCTATCTGGACTACATACCAAGACCCTGTATCAAAAATAAAATAAAATACTTTTAAAATTACAAGTTAATTATAAATACAATTACATAAAAATATGAAATTTAAGCCAAACTCAGAAAGACAGGTATCACATTTTTTTTTTCTTAAATAGGAATTGAGGTTAAAATGTGTGTGTGTAGCCGGGC